AAAAGTAGTAGCTCTAGTGATGCTCTCATAAAAGCTACACTACTGCGTTAATAAGAATAAACCATTCCTTCTCCAGGACCCCAGCAGAGTATGTATGTGCTGTTCTGTAAGAACTTTGGATTCAAAACCAACCATACGCAGGCATTCCACAAACCTGTCAAGCCCCAAGTGTGATCGCATTAGTCCGCTGTCTCCGAGGAAGGTACTGGGTGGGCAAAGGATGAAACGGGGAGAAGATAAATTGTTTTTTGTACCCCTTAGTGGCCAGACATCAATGCTGCAGCTTTGAAAGCTGTCTTTCCAAAAGCCATAAGGAAAACGAAAATTCAGAGATTAGGATTGCAGCTATACATGGGAGAGGAAATATGTTAAAAGGAAGCCTTTAATGAAGGAATGGATGAAAGACTTCCAACTAGAGGAGATTAATGTTCTTATCATATATACTCTCATGGTGAAGTGGAGGAAAGGGGTGGGAGGGATGAACCATCCTTCAAAGACCTGGAAACTCTCTGACGCTAAAAATTAATTCAGTACATTTAGTACACGGTACAGTTTGTAACAATTCTCTTTGCACATTTTCTTCTGGACTCTATAAACATTTAAAAAATCAGGTAAATCATACCAAAGACCTAGATCTGCTAAATTTTTAAATGCCACACGAAGCAGGTAGGACCCTTTCTGCAAAGTAACAAACAGCAGCAGAACACACTTTTCCAAATGCCAAGCAAGGAAACCCAGAGGTGACCAGGTGGGAGCAAGTAACACACACCGGTACACGGTCGCTGTCTTTCAGCTTGGCCGACCATCTGTAATTCCAGTGCCAGCTTTGCTTCCAGGTGATGTGCAATCCGGCCACAGAAAAGCAAAGTCAGAGCAAGGCGGGATAGAGTCACTAGGGACAGAGAAAGCACTTTCCCTGATGTCCCTGACTGTGAAACACGACAGCCAGTGCCCATCTTCATATCCCAAATAACAAAAGGTTGACAATCAGCTGTATTTGCTGAGAAACCAGCAGATGCATGGAGAAAAGTTGGATTTTACAGAAATATGGAGACAAACAAGGTGTTGCTTAACATGGCATTAGATAAGTGAAAATAAAAAGTGAAAGGCCAATTGGAAAGAGGGCAGAAAGGGAGGAAAAGCTTTCAGCTGTGTACTGAACAGCAGTGTTTGTGGACTTGCCATAACTTTCAAGACATCAACTGAAGGCAAAAGGGTAGAGGTGAATCTTGATTTACCATCAGGAACCAGAACTCATTTCCCAAGGCAAAGGGATATCTCTTTCTGTCACAGCGGATGCTGGTGAGGCTAGAAGGCCGCGTGGGGAGAAGACTCCCTGCACTGGAGGCATCAAGAAAGCGTTATTTGTTTATAGAGAATATTAAAAATAATAAGGCTGTTAGACAAGAGCAGGGCAGATAAGATGTAGAGGAGCTAAGAGTATAAGGAGATACGTCTAATCCCTTTCCTGGAGGAGTTATTTGTGACCCCGGTGGAATCTCAGCATTTCTGTTTCAGGGACTGGGACATGAGAACAGGCTCAACAAATGACTGACACAACCTGCTCCTCTCATAGTCAGAGAACTGTTCACGTTTCAGTTCCCTTTTTATTGTGAAGCAAACTGGACACTAGACACATCATGACACTGTGACAGGAGGTCTGTCCCACGTACACAGTCACAGGCAGTTTTGGGGGAGAAGGGAAAGGGCAAGGCTTCACCAGCCACTACACTCTATGTCCATTCTTACTGATACCATGAGCCCTAAAATAGTAATTTACGTACTGTGTAGGCACCTGAATACTTCATCTCATTCTTTAGTCTCAAAATAATTTAAATGAATGAGCAGAGAATATCTTGGAGGGGATAATTTGCCAACACATATTTTTAAAATGTATTTCTTCCCTTGGATTTAATTTTTTTATGTTTACCTTTCAGCAAAGAAGTCCTTTATATAACTAGAGATACAATGCTGTGTAAGCTCCATAAACAAATTATGGTGACTTTACATTAGGAAGATTCCTGGCTTTTGTTCCCTAAGACTATTTTGATGCTGTTTTGCCTTTTCATTACATACACACCAATTTGTTTTAAGCCTGTGTCTTTGCGTCCCCATCAACAAACATTAGAAATAGAGCAGCTGAACCACACTTTTACATGCCAGAGCTACCCAAATAACATTCACTGGAATTTGGGACACAGGGGAGAACCAGGGGCCCGGCAGGAGCCCAGATCTGTGGTACCCTCTCCGGCTCAGGTGGTGCTGGTGTTAGGGCCTCTGCTCTGCTCGCTGCGCACAGCAGATTCAAACGGCTCACCGTTAGCTTGCTTACAGTTGGAAGAAGTGCACAAAGGTTAAGGCTTTCTGCAAAGTCACAGTTACGAAGAAATGCAACAGCTGAAATGAAGGGAGAGGTGTGCACGTACTGCTAGCACCAGCTCCCTCATGGCTGCGTGTGCCCGATGCGTGTTCTGTACGTCCCACATCTCCAGGCACGAGGCTGCTGTCGGCAAAACCACTAGTGACGCGAGGCAAGGCGCAAGAAGAGGTTTTGAGGAGGTTCTGACACAGCTTCCAGAATAAAAATCAGAGCAGGAGAACAGTTATGTTCATGAGCCTCCTGTGTGACTGCCTTTTACTTCCCATTTGAGCATCTCAAAAAATGTTTACATCGCTGACATTAAATGAAACGATTTTAGATCTGAACAGTATGACAAGTTTATAGAGCACAGGAAAATCCTGCTTCTGTTACCAGCTTTGAATGTGGCTTGCTTACTGTCAACATCTATAAACATATATATGAATAAGAAACATTACTACATTTGTTACGAAAACATACCATAAGTTAGCAAAACCGACCCTGATATTAACCTCCTGTATTGATTTTTAAAAGCCTCTCTTGGTCAGCACTGACACACCTTAGCTAGAAGACCACGAAGAATTAAAACATAAATTTTCATTTTCATGTTACATCTAGCAAGCACTCCAATATATTAATTACAGAAAGTTCCCAAAATTTGTACATGTAATTTTGAAATACGCTTAAAGCCTCAAGCACTCTTTAAACATTTTTTCTGTCTTCTGTTTTTTTCGGTAATCTTTAGCATTACCGTCAGTAATTTTGGCACATAAATCCAAGGAGACGCATAGAGAAAACTGAACAAAAGAAACCTAACTGCAGGTCATTTGCCTGCCCAGCAGCTATGAGAAAAAGAGTCACTACCCAGAAAATATATTAACTGTGCAACGCACAAACTGCATTGCTGTTACAGCCGTCACCACATGGCACCAAACACTTGTTCCACAACAGGCAGAGTAATTTAAGAGTAAGACAAGCTAATTAGCTCTAGTTTCAAAGCAAAGGACAGCATATGAAAACACAAAAAGAAAGGTATTAAGGAAATTTAGCAACTTTAAGCTAATTCTTAGAAACCACACTTTAAAAGACTTATAGGGAGAAAAAATTACATAAATTCCAAATGGAAAGTGGCTGTTTCTGCCATGGCAGCTGAATGCTCTGCCACTCTCCTGGCATTGCCCTGGGAACAGGGAAAGCATTTCTGAGATGCAGCTCTGAGGCTTGGGCGAGCACACCGGCGTCTCTGACCAAACATCTGAGATCGAGTGCACGCTACAGTCTGTTTAGCCATGGACTATGGATAGCAATGCAAAAACACTCGCAAGAACAACAGTAAGCAAAAAGTTAATGAACACTTATGGGCAAGAAACAAGTCTTTTCCCAGAAAAGAAAGCAAAGACAATTTCTCAGCTCTCCCCTCTCAAACAGCACTTCAGATCAGCACTGCAGAAGATTTCATATCCCTGCACCCAAAACAGCCTTCTTTACATGTGCACCAACTAGAATTACGGTTTACTTTTTTTAAAAAATGAAATAAATAAATAAATGTCTTGCAAAGGTCCCCAGGGCTGCAGTGGATCTGGCTAGCCTTGCCACCAGAGCAGCCCTTCTTCAGGTAGTGTTTCCTCTTAGACTAGCAGGGGATACTGTTCCTGGAAACTATCTTTGTGCTGCGGGCAAGAACAAAGCACAGCTGATTCAGTTGCTGGTGACAAGGTATGTATCACATAGTATAACTATTACAAACACATACTTACAATCTGTCGTGCTAACCATCACGTTTACTAACTCTCTGCACACTCATGTGGAGGAACATTTTGCAAAATACCAAAATGTTAGATGTTAGTCTTAGCAGTTGGGAATCTCTCTGAATTATTCAATGCAGAATCCATACAAGAAGTTGCAGCAAATTTTGTATCAACAGCCCAAACTTCCTGACTCCTAAAGGAGTGGTTACAGAATCTGCTTCTGGAAGGGGAACCAGCTCAGAAGGTCTCCCCTCCCTTCCTTGCCCTCTTCTGTAACTCCTCTGGTCTTGCATACAGCAAAGCCTTAACAAGCCCTGGTGTCTGTGCCACTGAGGGGCCATGAGGGCAGGAAAACGGGGCAGGGGGGCAGAAATCTCATCACATGAGAGGAGGAACGACAGTACTGGCTGCGTGATGAGCCCTGATTATTACCCTGTAGCATGTATCAGCAAACTTTTTATTATTATGCTGTTCCTACCTCTGATTTTCTTTGTCTTTAGTCCTCAGACTGGTTTGGTTTTTTCCCTGCTTACTTTGTTTACAGTAAGAAACTAAGAAACCAATGTATTCCCTCTGTATTTCCCCTCTGGTTCCCCTGACCCCCTGCAAATTCTTATACGCTTTTAGGAATACAAAATATACAGGAAAGTTGGAAAGCTCACAACATTAATCACTCTGATACTACTTCTAAATTTTTACCAGCAAAAATGCTGCCTTTCCATATATGACACTACTGAAATAGTATAAACAAATGGCTATTTCCTTCATCACAGTTTTGCACCCATCATTACGCACTACCATTTGCTTTCTGATTTTCTTTTCAAACACTGACATCAGTATTGTTGCAGAGAAGTCCTCCCACAGACAGAATAAACAAGTGATTAAAAAAAGTACTAACCTTCGCTGACTGGTGTTGCACAGCCTTCAAGGTTCAGCATTATATTTTCATCTCTGTCATCTACACCGGCTCCCAAAAGCATCCAGCTCTCCACATTTTCACTTTCGGATATTAAGCTCTCCTCCTCCGAGCTATCATCTATTACCAACACGTCTTGGATGGCACAAGCTCCCGCAGAACTGACTGGGTTGAGCTTCCTACCGGTACTTTTCCTTTGCCTTGAAATGTCAGTGCCTGATCCAGCAGGATACCAGGTATGACATCCAGCAGCTTCGTCACAATTTGGTGTGGAAGATCCTGGAGGGATATGTATTTTACCTTGAGCTGAAGAGCTTGTTGACTTCTTTGCTTTGCTTTTATAAACACTGTCTTCATCCGGTGTATCAGACAAGACGATGATCTCAGGGTCATCTGAAAGCTGAGCACCACCATCAATTAATTCAGTGATTTCCTTGTCTTCATGCTGCTTCTCAGTTAGAACTGAACTATGACTTGTGACTCCTGCAACATCAGCTTCTTCATCCATTTCCAGCGTGCTGATTTCTCCAAGATTTTGGGAATAGTGGATCTGGCTGTAGAGATGAAATTCCACCTCACTATCAACACTCTGCTCACTGGATGACTCTTCGTGATAAAGTTCATCATCATATGCTTCACTATCCTCAGCGTCTTCATATCCAACAAACATTCTGAAAAGCGAATAGGCTGTATTGACAAAAAACCAAAATGCTGTATGAGAATGGTCATGAATGTATGCCCAAAGCCATCTTTCAAATGATACCCTTAGACTTTCTGGAATTGCTAAGGTTAGGCATAGAGCTCTGTGTACAGAAGATAAAACCGAGCAGACTTAACAGCTACAACAATCAATGCTCACATCCGTAACAGCAAAAGCCACTTAATCATAGAATCAGATTCACAGAATCGTTTTGGTTGGAAAAGACATTTAAGAACATTGAGTCCAACTGTAAACCTAAGGCTGCCAAGTCCCCAACTAACCCATGTCCCTCAGCACTATGTCTACACGACTCTTCAATCCCTCCAGGGATGGGGACTCCACCACTGCCCTGGCCAACCCCTTCCAATGCCTCAGAACCCTTTCAGCAAAGAAATTCTTCCTCACATCCCATCTCAACTGCCCTGGGCACAACAATTTCCTCTTGTCCTGTCACTTGTTCCTTGGTTGAACAGACCCACCCCCACCTCTCTCCACCCTCCTCCAAGGGACTTGGACAGAGACAGAAGGTCTCCCCTCAGCCTCCTTTTCTCCAGGCTCAACACCCCCAGTTCCCTCAGCCACAAGGGAACTCATCACACTTGTGCTCCAGACCCTTCCCCAGCTCCGTTGCCCTTCTCTGGACACGCTCCAGCACCTCCATGTCCTTCCTGGAGTCAGGGGCCCAACACTGAACCCAGCACTCGAGCTGCGGCCTCACCAGTGCCCAGTGCAGGGGGAAGAGAACTTCCCTGGTCCTACTGGCCACACTGGTGCTGATCCAGGCCAGGATGCCCTTGGCCTTCTTGGCCACCTGGGCACTTCGCTGACTCATGTTCAGCCGGCTGTCAATCAACATCCCCTGGTCCTCTTCTGCCAGGCAGCTTTCCAATCATAAGGGTTCATCTTATTTAATCTCGACTACTACTTTAACCTGAACTGCTTTGGCTTCTGTAAATTGCACTTAATGTGCTCTCAGCTTCCACAGCTCCTCTCCATCCTGGGTGCAAAACCAGGGTACCTGCATGGATCAGGAGCCAAATGATTGTCTGAATCTGAGTTTTGATTGCTCCACCAACTAGTATTAATTCTGGGTACTTTGCAACCTGTTTTACTAAGTAACGTGTTTATACATTCCTGAAAGAGCAGAGCAGGAACACTCAGCCATACTTGACAGAAGTAACTTGGAGCCTATCTACACCTGGGCTGCTGAGTGACCTGAACTGGCACTTCAGAATTCAACCCTGTGATGAGAAGTGCTGGGGCTATGACACAGAAGCACCCAGACACAGTCTGCCAAAGCTCAGGTCTGAAGGCAGCTGTCCTGGTTTTGCTAGGATAGAGTTAATTTCCTTCTTAGCAGTTAGAATAGCTGTGTTTTGGTTTCAGGTCAGACTTGCTATGAGAACATCATTGATAAAAGTACCAATGTCATTAGTAGCTGCTGGAGCTCAAGGCCACCGGGTTTGGCTGTTCACAGCTGCATTAGGACTGGGAGGGAGAAGCGCAGTGAACAGCAAAACCCAGAACTGGCATTTGGATGTGCCAATGAAATATTCCATCTCCTATCCCATCATGTTTAGTATATTATCCGGGGCTGACCAGAAGGGGGGGGATTCTCTCGGGCTCTGGCTCTCCCAGGATTGCAGTTTCTGTTTGGGATTGTCACTCCTCCGGGATTGTTCTCTGGGAACAGGCCGGGCTCGGTCAGGAGGGGGGGTGAGCTACAACACTGGGTGTCATTCACTTGATATTTTGTTACTGTTATCATTATCACTACTATTTTAATATTAGTATTATTTTAAGTTTTCTTTTATTTCTATTATTAAACTGTTCTTATCTCAAACTACGAGCCTCCTTATCCTTTCCTCCAATCCTCTCCCCTGTCTCCTGGGGGTGGGGGGGAAGTGGAACTGTTAACACAGTTAACACAGTAAACAGCTGTGTTAACTGCTAGCCAAGGACTATCCCAGTGAAACTAACATAGCAGCATTAAAAAAAAGAATAGTAAAGGTGGTGTTACAAATCTGTAGCCTTTACAAAAACTAGCATGTCACGCTGTCCTATCAGCACTTACAAACTGAGTTACAAAGCCATGAAAATGCAGCTACAATGCTCTCAGACCTGAGGAAGGTACACCTGCAAACAAACAGTGTCTGCTCAGCTCAGTGTGAGCTAGGACATCTCTGCACTGCTACCAGCTGAGCAATAATCATCCACAATCCTTAATGGCCTTTTTGGAGGATCTAGAACTAAAGCTCCAATTTCCCTTCTCATGTGCTCAGCAATACTGCTTTTTAAACAAATGTGCTGTAAGAGCTGGCTGATGGGACAAGGTGCACCCTCAGCAAGTCTGCAGCTGATGCAGAATTGGGAGGAGCAGGTGATACACCAGGCGGTTGTGTGCCATTCAGAGGTACCTCAATGGGCTTGAGAAGTGGGCAGAGAGGATCCTCATGAAGATCAACGAAAGTAAATGCCAAGTTCTGCACCCAGGCAGGAGACAGGCTGGGGGCCCACAGCCTGGAAAGCCAGTTTGCAGGAAAGGACCTGGGGATGGGACAAGTTGACCATAAGTGAATACACTTCTGGGACAAGAAGCATCCTGGGCTCCTGAAGAACATGGCCAGCAAGATGAGGGAGGTTCTCCTTCTGCTCTAGTCAGCGCTCACGAGGACACATCTGGAGTGCTGTGTACAGCTCTGAGCTCTCCAGTACCAGAAAAAGATGGACCTACTGGAGGGAGTGTGGTGAAGGGTCACTAAAAACATGAAGGGATTGGAGTATCCATTGTATGAGGCCAGGCTGAGACAGCCAGGACTGTTTAACCTCCAGAAGAGGAGGCTCAGGAGGATCTTATCAATGTACATAAATACTGATGCAGGGGGAGTAAATAAGACAGAGACAGGCTCTTCTGAGTGGTGTCCAGCAACATGACAAGAAGCAATAGACACAAAAACTAAAATATAGGAAATTCCACTTGAAATGTAAGAAAAAAACCCATTTTTTACTCTGTTGCCCAGGAGGCTGTGGAGCCTCCATCCCTGCAGATGTTCAAAACCCAGATGGACGTGGCCCTGAGCAAACTGGTCTAGCTCACCCTGCTTGGAGTTAAGGGGGTTGGACAAGACAACTCCTTCCATCCTCAGCTATCCTGTGATCCCAACCCAAGTGTCTCCAGAGCTCCCTACCAGCATGCGAAAGGTGTTCTGAAGTCACTTTGCCTAACTCACAAGATACATTATTTCATTTACCTGACCACATCATGCCTGTAGCAGAGTACAGGGAATACTTCCTCCGAAAAGTCCGTTTCTGTGCTACAGTTACTACAGTCCTAGGGAAGCCAACAAGCTCTTTTAGACATGAAAACTGCCAGATGGAGTTCTGTTTTTCAGTTGTGGAAAGAAGTGGCATGGTACTGTTTAAATTCCCATATTGATACACAAGTACAAGAACTTGGATTGGGAAGCCATATATGTAAGTCATTTGTGAGATGTGATGGTATTTAAGGAACCCAAAGTCTCTAATTATGACAGGTTTCTGTGCACACCCTGCCAGCATCCTTCCCTGACCATGACAGATTTGACCTAATTTGTATTCCTGTTATACCAGAAGTCAAACTAAAGAGGAAAACATTTTTCTCACAAAAATAAACAACAAAGACACATAAAATATGAGCGCACAAGCAAGAAAACGCAATGCTTCCTGACAACCCATATGCTGTACCCTTTTCTGTTTAGGCTGTCTGGTAGATCCATCATCCAACCTCACCTGCACAGCCAAAGAAGTCACTTCGGTCATCACCAGATGAGATGACATCCAAAGACCATCAGAACCCCATTCATCCATGCACATGCTCAGCTCCACTATCTCCTAGTACACTCAAGTTGATTTCTAATCTATAAATACAGTCCTAAAACTCAACAAGTAGAGGTTACAGAATCTGTTTTAAAAGCTCTCCTATCCACAGGGTGATTACAACCTCCTGGAAACTGGCATGTGCCAACACAGAACTCTGCTTAGCAACACAGTGCATGCAGCAGTAACCTGAGGATAGTGTGGATATATGTGCTAGACTCTGCCTCTCTCATCTGGGTTCTCAGGTAAATATAATACCTATTATGCCAAATAAAATATGAAAGAATGCAGGCAGAACTTGGTGGTAACAGTAAACCTATTTTATAACACTATTTAGGTCTGGATGCCACAGATAGGAGGAAGAAGTAAAACACTGGTCACCTGAAGGGCTGTAGGTAGTAAACAAATGAGACAGAAAAGCAGCTGACAGACCAAATGAAGCACCCATATTTAAAAATTTCTCTCAACTTTACATGGGGTCACCCTTTCGTACAGGTCCTAGCCTGTTCCCATCCACAGGGAGAGAATAAAAGCAGAGCTGGCTCCAATCAAACACATTAATCTGTGGTTACAGGACGTGAGAAGAGAGACCTTCAGTAACATAGGAAATTAAAGAATCCCCCTGAAGCATGCTGTAATTTTAGAGATACTTGAAAAGCCAACTTGATTCAAGCTCTCTTTCCTTCCCTCTCCATCACCCACTGGATAAAGTGACACAGAGTATGTGACCAAGGCTGAAAGCATGAAGCTAAACAAAACTGCTGGGGCACGGGTGTCAGAGAGCGCCCAGGGCGCTGACTCACGGATGCTTCATGATGAAGACCAGGGTAAGACAAGGTAGCACTGCTCTACGCTTACTTTGATGTGTCCTCCCCAGAAGCTCAGGTCAAACAGCAGCTCCTCCTCCTCTCAGGTCCACGCACAACTGGAAGGACAAAGGGCTCTTCCTCTTGCTCAGCGCGTACGCCAGGCCACTGGGAAACCAGAAACATCAAACGTTAGCAGCACAACACACTCTGAAGTACCTAGTTCCATTGTGCACCACCCTCAAACTCAGGCAGTAACTGTCCCCGCCTCTTCACCACAGAGTGAGAAATGCCCGTTTCAGGTGTGTGGCACCAAACAGGTAAGTAAGAACACTGCCTCTAGGAAAGGGAAGAGGAGCATGACAGACAAAGTTCTGCTGTTTTGCAGACTGTCAAAGCGGAGCAGTCTCTCACTGTGTTCATAGTGATACTCAAGAGAAAGACATCTGTCACTGCCAGCCCGCAGCAAGTTAGATTTCCCTTCCCCAGTGAAAGGTTTAGACTGTGTGCAATCATCCTTTTTGCTACCAGCTAGACTACGACAAAGACATCGCTCACATCTGATGTGAGCGTGGAAACTACATTAAACGTACTAGTCCTGCACAGACTAGTTGGTTTTATAGGTCATACAGGCTGCAGACAGCAGAACACTGACACGTCATACTTTGGAACTGGCCTGCCTTTCTTTTAAAAAAACTCAAAAACTTAGGCCACGGGAGAACCCTTCATCAAGAGGAATCCCATTCCTACCTGAACCCAGAGCACAACCTTCCTCAAAAGTTCCTGACTGCCCCTCTGGTAGGCCCTAGGTAAGAACAGTTCAGGTAAAGAGCTACCCATGTTAAAACAAAATTAAAAAGTCACAGCTATCTGAATTCCCGTCAACCATTTCCGAAGACAACTCCAGATGGCTACAGTTGGAAATGGTGAGAGATCATTTTCCCAGACTGTTTACAAGGACTGCTTGCCAGCACTTTTCATCTAGTCCATCAAAAAATCCAATGTCCCCCACTTGAAAAGGTAACAAAAGTCGGCAGCAGCACAGCCGCGGTCGGAAGGGAGGAGCTGAGGGTGAAGTGCAGGCAGAGAGAAAGAGCACAAACACCTTCAGCAGAACACCCACAGCAATCCTCGAGCTGTGTGCAGGCAGCTGCTTCCTCAGCCAAAACTCCACAGCAGTTTGGGACACGCAGGTGTAAGTGCAGGAGGGGCTTTGCATGAGCAGCAGTAAGAGGCCCAGGCCAGTTCTTCCCACACCGTTCCCGCTTCACATCCCTTGTTTCTCCCTCCCTACCACCTCCTCCTTTCCTCTGATTCACTTCACTCGTCTGCTGCTCTTACTTTCTCAACTCCTAAGACCTTTCAGAGCTCACACATGAACCTTTTTCTCTCCTCCCCTTGCCATTTGAAACAGGCACTCCACTTAACTTTAGAAACTGAGATTTCTTAAAAGAAAAAAGCTCTCAAACAAGCAAAAAATACATTTCAAAAATGATTACTTTTTCATCCTTCACAAATACAACTTTTCAGACAAGTGTACTATTCCCAACAGAAATCATCAGTGAAATCCAAATATTTCCTTGTTTTTCTTGCTCTCTGCCTGATCTTTGCAGTAATGTCAAATCTAACACTTTACAACAAAGGCGGCATTGAACATAACAGCAAGAGATGTATTCTCTGCTGTCTTAGGAGGTAAAGACGAGACACAATCCTGTCATCGGACTCTGTTACAGGTAGGAACAATAAAACGGGAAAGAAAGAGCTTTTGAGGAAACTACCAACAACTTCCTAAAACCCCAAGTGTCTATCAGAACAGGGGTTCAGAGATCAGAGTGGTAGGAGACACCCACAGACTGCCCAGCTGAGTGCAGAACAGACCTTTCCTCAGTTTGCTACTTAGTCATGTGTGTGATCCAGCAACTGCCTCGTACTTCAGAACGTTAAAGATGCGGCACAGTTACAACCAACGTGAAACTGAGACAGAAAGAACTTAAATGTTCCAATGCAATTAAATCTTTCATTTCAGCTGCTGTAACTGCTTCTGTACCGTTCATCAGAAGTAGCATACCTCCTTCTCAGGAGAGATAAGCAATCAAAATTATTAATTGTTATGAAGCACAGCACTAAAATGAAAATCACATCTTTGTTCTGCTTACTACCCTACAAAGATATGCAAATGTCCAATCTGATCAGATTTTTAAAAACCCCAACAATATATGGCCATTATCAGAGCTCAATGCTGGGAGACAGTTTTTCCCTTCCCCTGTATTGTGTTTCTGTACCAAACGTAACACAGATCTTGTTTTGGCTTACAGGGATAACCAAGCTGCACTCAAAGCAGGTGAGAAATCAAGTTTTTGTTTGGGACCCCAGGTGAGACACGTGGCTGTTGGGCACCTGGAGTTGCTCCCCACACTGATGTGCTCGTTTCAGAGTAGAAATGTCCTCAGAATGAAACATTTTAAAACGCCATGAGGCCAATTCCATGGCAGCCACCCCTCGGTTTTGATGAAGCAAACCCTGCCAAGTAGGTACTGCGCCTATCGTCCCAATTTCAAGTGGCCAAGAAAAAGGTGACAGCACCATAAAGCTGATCTAGTGGTGACATTTGCTATTAAGTTATTTTTGGCTAAACGCTGTCACTCTTTTCTTCCAAAGAAAACTGGCACTGCTCAACGCCGAGATGTAAAACTCGTTCGTACATTGATTTGCTGTGTGCTTGAGAAAATGTTTATTTCTTCTACGTTCCTTAAATACCATACAAATAAGTGTAAAGGAGAGGAGAAAAGGTTTGCAGAAGAGGTAAATGTTTTTTTTAGTGGCAAGCTATACCTTCAGGAGATCACAGGAATAGATCTTCCACACCCAAACCCTGGAAAATAACAAAATATTCCAAGTTTACTTCAAGGCTTTGGGAAGATTTTACCCTCCAGCAACTTTCAGAACCGTGTTCAACAGTAACTGTGCAGACATCCTCAGCCTCACAATTTCCTTTCCCTTAAAGAATTAATTTGGGCTGGTGACCTGATCGGAACACAGATCCCGAGTCTCCGGAGGGGGAACTGGGAGCGGGCGAGGGGCCGGAACAGAGGCGCAGGGCTGGCGGTCGGGCCACCGCTCCACACCGGCGGCACGGGAGACTGCAGGGCCCCGACCCTCCGCGGCAGCCCGGCTTGCCC